CCATGCATTTACATCATGGTAATATTTGGGAAGTTACTGAAAAATTCCATTATTCTATTTGTATGAGCGTATCATTGCAAACCCAATTATCTGATATCATAATATGAAGCCTTGTAAAAAGCATGATTATTATTACTAAGCTAAAACTCATCTGACATCTCAAAAGGAAGCCTTTTCTCCATGAATTAAATTCAGGTTTCAGGGATTTGCTCATATTAAGAGGATAATTCAACCTTCATTGGATTTGCTAATCATCCACAATAACCATGAGCCAAAGTTCAGAGGGAGAGAAATGTGCCTTTTTGCACGCTGTTATTTATCAAATTATCAGCTTATAAGAAAACTACCCTGAACCCTGAGCCATCTGCCAGTCATCTTGGGCGGTAACTGCTAATTGCTAACGCCTATACGAGCAGCAGGCCGAGATATCGATTCCTCATTCCCACATCTCAAACATCCTGAGTGACACCGAGAAGCTGGTGGCGAGAGTGCAGCAAATAATGGGCACCACGCCGCTGGAGGAGGGTAATTTACTGAGATTGTGTACATGGGAGCACTTACTGGTGCGTTTCTCCTGAAATAAAGAAAATCATTCGAGAAAAAAAAATCCTTTATTCTAACACTTGGTGACAGGCGACAAGTGTTTGGTGAGGAAGGAGAGTACTCAGGCAAAAAGTACAGCATTGGCAGATGTAATTAAATCTCTGGTTTTAAAAATCAAAGATTAAGTGTGTGTTTAATAGATCAATAATGATGGACAGATAAGACAAAGACGATTAATCAAAGTGCTTAGAAACTACAGCACTTAGGCAAGCAATTAATATGTCAAGAAAAGCTCGCGGGGACAAAAAAAAAAAAATCGGTTAGATGTAAGGAGGCTTCAAGGGCTATTACTTAGGATTATCATCATTGATTTGGTCTATATCTGTGAGGGGAGTGTGATGTTAATATCCTTATTGATTCAACACTTTTTAGCAGCTTTTGATAGACACAACTCACATGATGTGTTTCGCAAAAAGCCTGATCAGTTTTAGATTGCATTACAATGTCCACACCGTTCCTTCATTTCCTCAAGGAGAGCCGTTAGCATCGATCCACCCCGGATAGGAAGCCTGAGTTGAGCACGCGCTTAGACGAAAATGTGTCTCAAATTTTTATATCGGTGTAATAGCGCAACAAAAACAACTGGGACTCGGAGGCCTCAAGTCAATATGGCTCCTGGCCAGGACAAGCTAATTTCTTTGGCTTTGCTTCAGACGCTTTGCATAACACGAGGCAGGAATGGAAGTCGGGCTCACTTTGTCTAATATTTCCTGCAAATCACCGAGAGGCAGCCGAACTTGTACTGTAAATCACGGGATGGGCCGTTGTGCCGGGCATTATTACCGGTTGCGCATTTAAAGCAACCGCAGGGTTCTATTACCTAATAATGACGGCCGATGGTAACAAGCGAAAAATTAAACGCTTCCTGCCTTTTCCATTTGGATCATGGCTGTTGTTTACTGTGGTTCCATTCGCGCGGACCCCTGGGATCTGCAGGCTCAATCTCGTGCAGCCCGCTTTGTTTCTGGCTCTATTGAACCTGGACTCTCTGTGGATATTTGTTGGTTTTTCCTGCTCGTGACGGTCTCCCTTTTTTTTTGCCGTGTTCAATTTTGTTGCACTCACTGACACAATTCTGAACGTTAACTGGAAGAAATTGGGAAATCAAGCATCTGTGCTGTCTTGGGGAACTGGTCCAAAGCCCTTTTAAGCTCCCAGTACTATCAATTTGGTGTAGTGCATGGCAGACACTGAATGATAGCATTATAATCAGTCACATCATTAATTAGAACAAAAAAGATGGTTTCCTTCTCTTTAAAATGGAAAAAAAAAAGTGTCTTTGGATCATTTTTCCTTTGGTGGTAATTAACCTTGTTTCACAAAAAGTCATTAAAAGACAAAAACTTTGTTTTTGGACAGTTTTAGCTGAAATAATTTTGGTACCCATTGGTGATGTCTTGTCATCACCTATCATAGTAACACAACTTCTCTACAACCAGCTCCGTTTTATTATTTCTGATTAAGTACAAAAATATGACGCATACTAAAACATGATGGGAATACATCTCTGCTTGTCAAGATGATGAACAGGGAGCAGCCAGCTCCAGTGGTGCAAAGAAAGTAGAGTCACAGTGGTGTCACATCCTCACTTTGTCTATTGGCTAAACGACGGTATCTGCCGGTGGAGTTATTGTTGATAATGTTTTAGGTTTTCAATCCATGATCAAGCACTTAGATCACTTAGGTCTAGTAATTACTGCCTGCCTTCATCTTTTATCGGACTTAATTGAATACATTTCGCTTTCTGACTTGCTTCATTGCATCGGTGGGAATTGTTTCATAAGGAAAATAACTGTTAGTTACAGCAGTTATTTTTTTGGGGACCCAGACTCCTCACACCCTAGACTCAGGAGGAAAGAACATCCAGATGCAAGGACAAAGACCATGTGAGCATATCAGAGTCCCTCTCAGCTTCATACAGACAATGCGAATGCAATTCTGAGCCTATTCTACTTGATTATAATCATCCAATGTCACAACTCACCGTTGTAGGTCCCCTGTTGAAAGAAAGAGTGAAAAACCTCTTTGTGAGAAACATCTGGAGACTCTCTGTGCAGAATATGGAGCAGAATCGAGGGTGTTTACATGAGCTGTTAACCACCAGAGAGTTAATGTGGGCTATTTCAACAATCTCTCAATCAAATTTTGCCTTCATTTTTGTTTTTAATGAAGAAAAATGTGCTAATCCTGATGCTAATGTCACTAAGACGCAGAATATTTTCCATTAGCTCCAGATGATCAAACACCAGCATCTGCAAAAATAGTGAGCATCAAATCCCCCTCTTACTGGTGAACCGACCATTTTGCAGATATTAGAAGTAGCATTGTCATTACCGTTCTTTCGGAAATGCATTTTGCATCTTCCTCTCTACCCACACTCACTCTTAAGTCCAATCAAACATTCGTTCATTTTCAGCAGCCGTCATCAATGTGCAATTCCACAATATGAGTTCATATGAGATTGTTGGGCGTTTGCTCCTAAAAAAAATGTGTCTACCTCTAGGATGAAATCTTTATCCTGAGACTAGATTTCCACCAGAGCTTTCATTTCATCTTGTGGCACTCATCCATGCATAGAACGTCAGATACAGTAAATGCGGATAATCACATTCTTGGGACAAGTTATGATTATTGACAAATGCACGGTATGCTGTTGTCAATAACTCATTATCTTTCTGTGCAGGATTTACAGCAAGAGGGGTTTATAGACATTGATAAATGGCGATGGACTTTTAGAAGCCAACAGAATTGCTTACAGCAATACAAGGCAAGTTTACACTCTCCTACAATTAAGTGCTATCGTCCAACTCCAAGTGAATCTTATTAGAGATCTATTTCATTTCAGTCTGTGTTACTCATATTAGTAATAGATTTGAGACTTGCTTTTTGAACTTCAACTATGTAAACGCCTCAGACTGGCATGACTTTTTGTTTAATTCAACTCAGACTTGTCTTATAATCAGTGGCTGTTATGGCTGCTAAATATGGAATGGCTATGGTTTACACTACAGGGAAAAGAAAATGCATATTTGCAAGTGAAAATGCTAAATTGACTTTTATGAACTTGCGTGAGGCTCTGTGACCTCGGTGGCATTTGCTGTATTGTCTTGCAAGGCAAATTCCAGCCATCTGGTTCCTCTGGGCGAGTTCGGGCAAATGTTAAGTTGTACTGGGTTTGCAGCTCTGAGTTCTTTCTATTTTTATGCCTCTTTCCAGCCAGTGTATCTGGTTGAACATGACATCGTGGGTTTTCTCGTCAGCGGCAGATGTGTTGGAGCGTAAATATGCACGGAGAGGTCCAGTTGATTGTGTTTCAAAGCCCGTCGGCCCCCCGGCAACCTCCTCACCCAACCTCCTGCTGTTGTTGTTGTTGTTGCCGCTGTTTTGTCTTGTCGCGTGGTTCCGCACCACAGCTGCTTTTGGCTGTCAGGACACAGATCGCACCTCCACCTTTTTTTTTTGGCGGCCGAGGCCGGCGGTTCACGGCGTTATCAGGAAGCGTGGTGTGCGACGTACATTCAAATCAGATCACGTCTTCGACTGGGTGTTGCTCTCATCGTGATGGAGGCCAAAGAGACACACCAGGCATCAGCAACACAGTAAAGCACACAACACGGCCTTAAATAATTAGAACCGCTGCGAGTAAAAATAGGAACTGATTATTTGAGATCCTATCTAATTGCTGATGCATCATTGACCTCTAGTGGCGAACGAGCTAAATAAATAGTGAAAACAGCAGCAACACGCCTCAGTAATGTGCTGATGCTAATTGTGAGTTATGACACTTCACGGCGGGAGCGTTTGGAAAATAAACCCCAACACAGACTTAACTCTGGGGCTGAGCCCGCGCGCTGCTTGTAATGAAGGTGAGCAGAATCCAATTTCTTTCACATAATTACACATTTGGGTCAGAAAAATCAAAATTTTTTTAAAATGAAAATCACAAGAAAATAACAGCACTTTCAGCACCGAGCAGGCACCCTATAATCCGTCATGAAAGTGGGGGTTTAACTTAATCAACAACCAAATTTCAGAGGTTTGGAGGCTACAGAAAAGCCCACATGCACACTGTCGAAGAGCGTGTGGACACAGTCAACCAAACGTCCAAGGACAAGGCTCAATATTCTGGGAAATAGAATTGCTGTGTGCAAAAATTAGAGCCGTTACCCACTTCAATCAAAACTGTTTGACACATCACAGGGGGGGGTTTCGGATTTGGCAAAGCCTTCCATTGGCGACTGAATGAATGCTTCTGGGTGAAAGTCAAACACTGAAATCTAGATATAATAGCCTCACAACTTTATTAACACAACATACAGCAAAAGCTATCTTCCTCTTCCTCTTCTCGTTTGGCGTTACACGTTGAAATTCATCATGGATCTGCTACAAAAGTTCTCCTATTTCTTCTCTGGTGTTGCATCATCCCTCGCGGCGGGGAATATTTCAATTTCCTTGATGATCCGTTTTGCGATAACGTCGTTGTTTGCTGACACCATCCTTCGAGACATCAAATCAAACGGTCCCCCTGGGTGATCGAATAAAAGCCACAGTTAGGCGAGGCCACGCTGGTTTCTGCACGTTGTGGGCAGACGATTGCACGGAATAATTCTGCGTAATCGGTCGGCGTTTGGTGAGAGAGGGACCGAGGATACACACCGTCCACGTCCAGAAGGATTCCCCCGGCTTCTTGGACTATGACCGCCCCGGCGGCAATGTCCCAGCAGTGGATCCCGATCTCGAAGAAAGCTTCCACCGCTCCGGTGGCCACCAGACACATGTTAGTGGCAGCTGTTCCTGACCCGCGGAGCCTGTTAGGACGCAAAGACCAGTCCAGAGAGAATGGACACACAGGGGTTAATAATCAGTTACTGGGGTAGAAAGGTCAAGACTATTGTTATTGCTTTTTGGCTTTACATGCAGCATATTAGATGCTGTAAATACAACAACTTACCCATGCACTGGGATGCAGAGGATCTTTTGCATTGTGGAGAAGATTTTTTTTACTTTTTCTGGACTCCGGTCAGTCCCGTGCTCAGAAATGATAATGGACTTGTTGATATCTACATTGAGAGAAAGCCAAAGAAGGTACTGTAACCATTTTTATCCCAGTTAGAGTAAGACTTTTCCCATACTGTCGATCAAGACTGCACAATACAGAGCCCTAATACTTTCATGTTTTACCTTTCACATCAGACACCTGAATTGGCTCGTCATTGCAGAAAGCTCCTTTTCCCCTCCTTGCTTTATACATCTTGTCCTCCAAGCAGCTGTACACCACGCCAAACTCCAGCTGTAATCATATAATATCATCAAATGTCCCATACACCGTTATAGCACTTTAAGACAACTCAGGATTCTGTCATTGGTTGTACCTGTTTTTTGACAGCAAAGGCAATGGACACCGCCACGAAGGGGAATCTGTAAGTAAAAATATCCACGTGTGGATTTGATAAATGTATGAATACAGTCATCATTTTGCATTTAGCCTCTTTAAGTCTCACTTCTTGCTAAAAGGGGTCCTGTGAAGGACTGGCCATCTGTGCAATGTTAAATCTGAAAGCACGCCAGTCCTTTTCTATAGCCAGGCCGCCAAATGACCGGTGCTGTTAATTCAAAGTAAAATTAAGTTTCGGTCCCACGGTGAGAAAAAAAATCTGACAATCCAAATTTTAACTACAGTTGTTATTCCTGTTGTATACACGGTATTCTGAGCATTACTTCTAAAAATTGTGCTGGGTGGAAAATGGGCTTCCCTTCAACCTAGCAGCGCTTTGGCAGATTTTTGTACTCACCCATGTACAAAGTTAGTGGTGCCATCCACAGGGTCTATGATCCACGTGGGCTTGTCTGTCAAAATGCACGGCTCCCCTTTTGCGACTGACTCCTCCCCAATGAAACTGCACGGACAAGGAGGCAGCGGACCAGTTAGCAATCTATACAAAAGAGTCATTTTATCTTTACATCAATCCTGGCAACATTAATGTGTGTGTGTCTGTGTAAATGGCATACCAGTGTGTGCCCTCTCCAAATTCTTTGATAAGAGATCCGATAATGATTTTCTCTACCCTTTCATCAGTCTTGGTGACCAGGTCCACCGTGGAGCTCTTTGTCATGACCCTTATTTCACTCTCACCTGCTTTCCGGATTTCCTGATAATGAAATATTTTGGATAAATCATGTTTTGAACACCAGTCTCATTCTTTTTTTCTTTTTTTTTTTAAAAAGCCTGTTCAGTGCATTTTATGTTGTAAAAAGAGACACAAATAGTACCTCTCCAGCTTTTCTTGCCACTGCAACAGCCACTTCATATGCTCTCTCCCACTGGTCTTCCATTTTGTTTCCGTGTGTTTGTAATCTGTGGAACAAATCGATGCTGTTAAATTGCTGAAATGCATAAATGGATCCATCATGTGTCGTTTCGTGTAAACTATGTTTTTTCAAATTGGCACACAAAACCACACTATTACGCCAAACCTGCATGATTAGCACACCCTTACTAAGGCACCATGTGTTATGTCATACTTCCTGTAAACTGGAATTTGCCAGCTCTGTATTGTTCTGAAGCTCCAAAAAGGGCACTGAAACGTTTCTTTGCTGTTTGAGCTGTGAACGTCCGTTTAATACTCAGCCTGAGACACAAAACAGGGCTAAAACAGATGCCAATCACAAACAGATGTTCTCTGCCTCCCTAAAGAATGTTATAAGGTTGCTTTTGTTAGTTTCTTTGAGTTGCATGACTGTAACACATTTTTTAATGCTGATCTGTGTCTTAGCAGTTCTTAGGATGGAGGTCTGCTGTTGTTACATGTTTTCTGTAATTAATGTTAGCTCCCATTGCTCATTTTTATTTCACCTCCTCTCCATTGTCGTTAAATATCGCTCCCAGCTGGAGAGTAGACAGACGCTCAGATAATTCTTAAGTGAATGATAAGACTTTGAGCAAATCCCAAAGCTGACTGTCATCTCAAAGAAATGAGCCAACAACTCCATTACAAAGATTATGTCCCAATGAAACCCCATCCAAATATCAAACTTGTGATTTTTGCAGACGGGATGTATCTCAATAAAAACGTATGTCAGAGATATGTTACTATGGGATAGGACACCAAACCTTAACATGCATAACCCCACAAAAACCCACTCTCCAGTCAGTGTACATCTAGCAGCTAGACTAATCTGTGTGTGTGTGTGACATGAGAGTAAAGCTTACCTGGTGGAGCGGTGCTGCTGTCAGGTGTCCTAAAATTCAAATGGGCCTTCTTGTGAAAGGGTAAACCTTAAATTACCTCAGTGGAGCGATGAGGCAAACTTAAAAAAGCTGGCATGACAAGGTAGGAAAAGTACTAGCACCGCCCTCACAGACGTCTTCTCAGCTACCAGAGGAGGAAAAAAAAAAAAACAGCTCCCAGTCCTCCCAAATTCAAACCAGCAACTGCATGATGCCCCACACTCTTGCTAACAAGTAAACGCACCTGCGATTCTGAAGTGGAAAGTTTTTGAGAAGGTTTCCTAATTCCTGTGTAGGAACCACAGGAAGACACACCCAGGTCCCCTACCATGATGCGCTCAAGCTGACAGGCAAAAACAAATTCCTTAGTGACGATGTCACAGCAGACTTTTGATGGGAGAAATCTTGTTTTTTTGAAGAGGAAATGTACAATATTCTCTAGCTCCTGGTGTGATTTTTTTTTTTACCATGGGACGTGGCACGCCAAACAAAGCTGCTGTCAGCTTCGTATTTCCTGACAGTTTTGCAGCTATCGAGCTTCGTGTCCTTTCATTGTGTTCCACCAGTAAAAAAAAAAAAAAGAATGAAAAGCTTGAAAGATCCCCTGTTGAGACAGTGTAGATTATGTCTGTTTGTGCGCCTGCTGGAAGTTGAATGAAGCCTTGACAGTATCCTTATGAGGGGAGGGTAGGATACTGCAGGGAGACAGGTCTAAATATGTCAATGTACTGTAAAAAGATTCAATATTAAAAAAAAACAAGAAACAGCTCACTCCGGCAAAAGCTGCCGCGTATTTTTTCGGATCACTTCAAATAATTCTGCACGAGGGACTGAGAGTCATCAGAGTCCCTGCCCTTTAAAAGTACACGACTGAGTTTTTACTCTTTCTTTGATGCTGCATAAAGTGGTTGCGTGTACCTAAAGATTCAAGTAAATGCCTTTAGTCTTTAGGCCCGGGAGTGACATAGTTTGAACACTTATTCAAATGCACACATTACTTTAGCCCTCCAGGGAGAATAAAAAGACCATTTTCTGACTCATCAAGCTTCCTCTCATGGAACCCTGACAGTTGCAGGAAGTCAAACCTTGCTGCAAGACGGATTGTTCAATTAGTGGTAAATGCCGCATGTCCTAAGAAAACTACGTTGCCTCTCTTTTCTTGCTTGTGAAATCTAGCGTGGGCAACCCACGCTGTGCGCTGTCCCGTGAAGACATCGCTGCCCGGCAAAATATGCACGCCTCCTCGCACGTCAGAAAAAGCAGAAACGGGCTCGCTGAGACACGATGGGCGCCGCCGCCACACCTTGCACAACCCTGGTTCATGCGTGTTGCAATATGTTAAACCTGTTCCTGCTGTCTGCCACTACGTTTGTAATGGAGGGATGAGTCTCAAGGCAAATATTTAGAGACCGAGTAAGTTAGTCATCTGATAGTGAGTTTCCTACTGCGACAGACTAGCTAAACAAAGCTAAAGCTGGTAGAAAACAAGTCCCGGTAAAACAGGTTTCCAGCAAATCTTAACGCACAAACTGCAGCTGTAGTAAACACGCGTGTGTTCGGTGGGTTATCGTGTTTAAAGTGGTTTGACTGGGAGCACTGGGAGCACTGGGAGAGCAATCGTCACCCCCGTGCACCCAACATAAGACGCTCTGAGAGACGTTGAGCGACACGCGGGGGGGGGAGGCGATGGGACGAGCAAAACAAATGCATCAGCCCCTGCTGTCGCCCCGGCAGCCCCCGTTATGAATAATTTATCCAGGATGACGGATGTTTTAGATGTTTGGTTCACAGGGATCACAGCTGTAATTGAGGACTGCCATGATGCTGGAGTTGCCGAAGGTCAGCGGTTCACTCGGAAAGATGAGTCTTTTTTTCTCATCTCCAAACCCCTTTTGAGTATCTAAAAAATGGCTTTCTTGGATTAGTGGCAAACCCTAACCCTAACCCTAACCAGGGCATCACAACGGGCCTCTTCTAATACTTCAGATATGTCGGATACAAATGAATCCCTTACTCTCGTTTCAAATTGTACCTCAAATTGTTTCAGTTTTAGATTTCCTCCGTGTTTTTAATGAAAACTTAAAAACTAACATTGTGTGACGTGTTAGTTGGAGCACAGGCTAAATCACAGGTCGTGGAATTTAGAAATATAACTAAAGCTGACGAGTCGCTGCCAGATATATGCTGCCCTTCTTTTTTCTTTACTCTTGTCCTCACTCTGCCATTCTTTCATTGGAAAAATACAGCTTTTACCGAATTAGTGACCAAGTCCAGGCAACTTCCCATTCTGATGGTTTTTGGGTTCAAATTCAAAGTTGTGTTTTTCAGTCCTTTGTTAGATTCCTGTATAGTTGCAGATTTTGTGTAATTATCATAATTTAGGGGAGTGGCCACTCATTAAAAATTCTAAAAATCTTCAGTTAGAAAATCAAACCGCACCCGTATCTAAATCTACCCGGTTACTTTAGAAACCACACCCCTTAACCAGAGTCACTTTAAGATAAGATTCTCCCCATCGTTTGGCATTTAACCTGTTAAAATGTTCAATTTCGATAAAAAACATTCAATATTCACCAGCTTGTGAACATTTTGAAAATACCGTCTAAGAAACCACAGCCTTCAACATACCATTGGGAATATCTTCAAGATGATAATTCCTCTTATTTGGGGAAAAATATCGGTGTACTGGTTAAGTGATAAGAGATAATACAGGAATCTACTCTAACACTAATGACAGAAAGGTTGATAATGGATGTTTCCATTACAACATTTGTCATTTAACGTTTTGAATTAAACGTTAGCGAAGTGAACCTGAAATAACAAAAAACGGCGGAACCTCTCGTTTTTGATAGACAGATCTTCCTGGATCTTCATGAGTTGATTGGGACATGAAGTCCAGCAGGGTGGCTGCCTCCAATTTGCCCTCTCAGCATAGCCGAGCTGAGGGACGCTTCAGGCCAGTGGTTTATTGCGGCAAGAGGGAATTCTTCCTGATGGAGAGCTGCAGGGTGTCCGTTAACAACCTGCTATCATTCCTCCAGGGATCTGCTAAGTGGACTGTGTCCCATCGTCCAAACAAAAGCAACCGAAAGTACGTCCCGTGGTCTAAATATGTATCCAGAACTTTACCCTCAACATGAGTGTCACTCTGGGCTTGAATGCTAACGCCGGCATCCAAATAGATGTTGTAAAGGTTTACCATCATGTGAACACGCTGGCATTAGATAATTACAGCTCAGGCTCATGGGAGTGTGACCGGTTCCAGCAAAGCAAGAAGGACAAGGCACGAGCGAAGTCTCTTTATGACAGCCAACGAAATCTGGATCCAGCACAGCGTCCCTGTCATCCAGCGGAAAACTGGAGTCCAGTTTTTCTTTATCTACCCAACAGCAGAACACAAAGGCCTAAGTTGCTCTGTCTAGAGGAAAGATGAAGAAAAAAGTTCCAATCGTGAAGCAACAAGCAAAATGAACAGAAGTTTTATAGTTTACCCAAATCTTAAGACATTTTTTTTTAAAATCTCGCATGAAGTCCATCTATTCTGACATGACACCTGATAATGTCAGAAAACGTAACACAAATGCCGGATAAAAACACCAAAGAGAGACACTTCATTAAGCAAATCAGAAGAAATGGATGAAAAACAAGATTTTCCAGATAAAATCAACCTATAGCTTCCATGTGATCACCTTTTTTTGAGTTCAGAAAACACGTTTTGAAGCCTGTAACACGTTCTAAAAAAACACTGGGGACGGGGCCATGTACATCACCTTCCCTTTTCACTAAATTTAAAGCCTTTATGAAACCCATTGCACCATTTGTGGAAGCCTTGCAGGTGGAATTCTTTCCCAGTCCTGCTCGGTTTTAAACTTAAAAGAGGATACAGGTGTGAGTAGGCCTGTTTAGCACCACAATTCTGGTTCTTGACTCATGCCCCTGGACCACGAGCAGGAAGCTTCTTGGCATGGTCCGGCTGAAATGTCTGAAAAGAAGCAGCACATGTTGCTCCCACAGCTGTAGATCCCTCTCAGCGTTAACGTGGGGCCGTCACAGATGTGCAGGTTACTCACGCCACCTGCACCGACTCAACCCCAGGTGATCCCAGATGCTAGCTTTGGATTTTTTTCAAAAGCCAGCAAAGTCTGGAGGGTCCTCCTCTGCTTTATGAACACAAAAACAACGTGTAATCTGAACGGCGCGCATTTCCATTTCATCTCGGGACTGTTCTTTTTCTGAACTGTGGGACTAATCCACGACTTTCCCAGTTTCTTTGGACCGTGTTGCAGCCATCAAAAGAAGTGGCAAAAAAATCAAGCTCATTAGTCTGAACCCTGAACGGTGTGTCTTTGGAACGTTTCCAGTTGGATAAAGGCTGCAAATTGGATAGTATTCTGTTTTCATTTATGTTTTACACTACATCCCAACTTCATTGGAAATGAGGTTTGTATCTACAGAGCTTGATTCTGTCTTCTCCAGGGGGTACAATTTTTTTTGGTAGGCAACAGGAAAACACTTTGCAAAGAACAATGGTTGGCATCGCTCACTGGCAGCCAGCTCACGGAGGCTTAAGTATGAGAAGTGTGAGGATACGGTTGGCTGTGTCATTAATGACTCTGCACACAGTGAAAGAACATTAAAATTTAAAGACGCGGGGAAACTGGCAAGAATTTGGCAGGAGAGCTGCCGGCGCAAAGCCGGAATTGACTCTGGTGATTACGCGTGCCCCCCCCCCCCCGGCCGCAAACAAACCCCCGACGCAGATTTCAGAGAGACGTGAAGATCCCAGTTTGCTCGGGTGAAGCGTTTTAAAACCATTTGTTAGTCATCAGCAAACACAAGCTGGGGAAAAAAAAGTCCACAGGGAGAAGTCAGCGGGTTGTTTCAAAGAGAGTCTGGGTGTGGGTGGGGGGGGGGTTGGGGGGGGGTGGCAGGCCGCTGAGCGGGTGCAGAGTCTGTGACTCCGACTGAGAAGTTAGTAGGCAAAGCAGTGGAGAATTCCACATGGTGCCACGGCTTTTATCTAAATAACAACACGGTGTTCTTTTCCTGACATTTTCCTGTCCAAGAGACCCTGCTTTTTTTCTTTATTTGGTTTTTCCTGTTAGCCACCAGAGACCCTTCCCCCTCGTTAATGCTTTTCGTTTTATGGATTTATCTCGTTTTTTTTCTAGGTCAAAGCAACACATCGTAGATTCGGGCCACAGTGACGTTTGAGCTTGGAGGAGTTTGGAATAAAGAGGGAGTTCACAGCAACATGTGCAGAGGCAAAGGAGCCTTTTGTGTTCTCGCAGTGGAGGAGGAGAATTTTACAAGAATGTTTGAATGAAGCAACAACATGAGAGACGTCTTTGTTTTTCTTACTTGTTCTTTTTTTTCTCTTTAACAAATGAATTACATATTTCAACGGGACGAGTCATGACACTCTCATGTTCATAGGGATTGCACTTTGGCTTGTCAGCATATTTCCTGCAGAAACATTCCCTCACAGACTCCGGTTCTGCTGCCAATAAACTGCTCCGTCCCCAGTTTATGACGATAACATGTGCCTGCATGCCAATGCTGTGCTGCGGTTACATGACTGCTCACGTTAGCCTAAATCAGGGGCGGGTCGGAGGTAACGGGGATATTTATAGTGCTTTTTATTCACTTCATTTATTACATACTTTAAAAACACATTACACTTGCATACACTGCACTTCTTACACCTGCTGTGTGTTTGAGGTGTTATCTTAATGTGGACGGTTACACAGCACAACAGTTTAATGTGAACTTACTGGTGCACACATCCTAATCCTAAGTATTGTGCAAACCGGTTATGACGGGGACACTTTAAAAAAAAACACCTCTTTCCGAGTTAAATCGACGTATTTCGCAGGGAAAAAGCAACGCCACTGGTCAACCCTGAACATTAAGCTGTAGCTGTTGAGGTCATTTATGGAGAAATGCCTTTTTTCCTTGTCTCGGCTTCAGTCAGGTAAGTGAGAACAGATATGGAGCGGTTAAGTGATTTTTTAAAAATGCAGCAACAAAAGCCTCAATGTCTGTGAGCTGAAGTACAACAACAACTTAAAAAGAAGGGTAGGAGTTGAACTAATTCACTGTCCTTCAGAGGTAAGTGCATTTTTTTGGTTCTTAAGGGACACTTGAGACTTGTTTGGTTATCTGATGGGATTCTTTAGCCCTCTGTGTCGTCCCTGCCCACGGAAAACTCCGTTACCTCCTTTGCGATGCGCTCGGCTATCGCCCGGCTGCTCGCCACGATCAGCCTGCGGGACATCAGATCGAACGGTCCGCCTGGTTGGAGGAGAAAAAAAAAAAACACAAAATGATTTAGCAAAACAAAAGAGGAGCAGGACATTCTGGACCGTTTCTGGTTCTGTTCTTGGAGATGAAGCCATTTGCATCTATTTAATAGATTTGACGCTGCATAAATAAAGATGAACTGAATTCGATTAAAAGGGAAGAGACTTGCTTATTTTCTCCATCTTAATCATCATAATTAGAAAATGGATTTTTTTGGTACTTTAACAGGATTTACGTCAAGTTCTCAAACCAAAACAATCAATAAAATCCCAACAAATAACGTGCCTTGTAATCAATTATGAAAACAAACTATTACCTACAGCCTTATTCCAATTATCTTCTTAGGACATGAAACAAAGTTTCTCTGTTTATGCTGTTGGACATTTTAATTCGTAACTGACATTTCATAACGTTATAATTCATTGATTTTACACAATTAGACTACAAAAAAAGCAATATGAAGGTGACTGCTGTACATTATTGACTACATCATTACTCGTGACGCAGCGGTGAGTGTTGTGTGTGCCGGTAGAAATGTTCCCCTCCATTAAACTCTTATCACACCACTCAATGAAAACAATCTGTGTGCATTTACTCTGAGATGCTTGTTCGCAAAGGAAGCTGTGCTGAGCCAGTGATGAGCAGAATTACGTCCAACGCTCAGGGTGAGAAGCTCAGGTGGAGAAAACAGATTCATTTCCATCATGGGCCCTTTTTCCAAACTTCATACTTTGTAAAGTACCGTTTTTGAGAAAATATTGAATTATCATCCAAATAAGAAGAGTCTGTTGAGCCCACCCAGCATCTGCTCTCCTAAACAAAGCCTCTTCTACTCCTCTTACTCTTAATTCGTAATCAGTATACCAAATATCAGGCCAGATGGTTTGTCAGAGGCACCGTGGCCCGCCTTTGAGAGACAAAATCCTGTTTCAAGCACAAAAGGCAGCAGCTGCTCTTTCCTCGTCTCCGTTTCACGGGGCGCTTATGAGCCGAAAGAAGGATAAAAACCAATATCAAGAAACTAATGGTAACAATAAATAATTCATCAACAATAACTTCTGCTACGCCTCCGCTCAAAGAGCAGCAGCCACTTCTCAGCGCTCGGCTCGGTACAGCCATCTCCTCCAGCAATCCTCCCTCCCTTTCATTTCTTCCAGTGACTCAGCAGCCTTTGAAAAAAAAAAAAAAAGTGTAGTTTTGAAGTGTTGCTCCTGTTTTTCTCCACAGACTCACCTGAGATGTCCATGATTACTCCTCCGGCTTCGGTAACGACCGCCGCCCCCCCGGCCATGTCCCAGCAGTGGATGCCCATGTGGTAGTACGCGTCCGCCGCCCCGCACGCCACCAGGCACATGTTGACAGCCGCGCTGCCGGGCGAGCGCACTCTGCGGACGGAAACGAGGCGTTTTGTTCGTGCCTCCGGGGGCACGGGCGCGAATGTGCTTGTGAATCAACGCCTTCAATCTTTGAGAGTGGAAACCCCTTCTTTTGGTGTTTCCATGTTGAATCTAAAAGGTTAAAGGTGGTGTCCAACCATTCTTGAATGTGTTTTTGATGGGAGTGTTTTCCTTTTCCATCTTTAAAGTGAACATTTATTACTAAAATACATTCGAAACGACTCATCACCGCCTTAAACTAAACCGTAATGGTGAAACTGTGACAGAATCAAACTGATGACACCCATTAAAATAAGTGAGGTGTAACTGAGATACATTCGTATAATTTAGTTTAGTGATGCTCTTCCCCTGGATACAGATGAGCTCTGAAGCACCATTACATTCAGAGCTGCAGCAGTAATTCCCACACGTGATGACATACAGAAAGATTTAGCCAATACTACCGAGAGGTCTTATGGAGTTTTTTAAAAAGATCATCTTATTTGGTCCATTATAAGAGAACCTTATAGTGCTAATATAAATGAAAGGTAAGCAGCAATTCCACCAATCTCTCAGGTCAGCTACTTCATTTCTAAACCCTGAAATAAGCATGTAAGTAACACCATCCATGCTCAGAACTGACTGGCTCAAAGAAGTGAGGTCCGCAGTTGTCACAGTGTTCCTGTGATGGATCGCACTCTCATAAAAACTGCACTATAGTTCCAATTAGATCTCTGGTTTCACCTAGTGCACCTCCAGTTCTTCTGTCAATAATCTCGGGCTGCCTGAGCCTGTACTGTAAACGCCTTAAGCTTTGTATTTACCCATGAACAGGGATAGTGAGGATGGTCTTGACGTTGGCCAACATTATTTTGAAGTGCTCAGGATCCTTCTTGAAGCCCATTTCTGTCAGCACCAGAGATTTGGTCACATCTTGAAAGGAAACAAAGATAAAATCATTCACTCCCTGAACAGAGACAGCTGCGGTGAGTCGATGGTACAAGTAAAGATTACTGGCTCCACCTGGTGGAGTAATCTATAACTGCACCTCGAACATCTGCTGTGCTGAGAGGGACTATTCACCTTCTTGACCGGACACCTTGATCGGGACTCCGTTGCAGAACGCGCCCTTTCCTTTCCGTGCAGTGTACATTTTGTCCTCGATGCAGCTGTAGACAATCCCAAACTCGATCTGAGACGAGGCAGCAGCAGAGAAAACTCCAGTGATTTAGGAGGAGTGGGAGGAGGGCTAAAAATAAAACAGCAGCTGTATAATAGGGGAAACTTACAGCACCACTGCTTATATATTCAAGAGGCAACAACTGGGTTAATGTCTTTTATGATCAAGAAGCCACAGAGGAAAAAACATGATGTTTGCATTCATTAAACCCTACCTCTTTCTTCACTGCGAAGCCAATTGATACAGACACAAATGGGAACCTGCCCAACAGAAATGTACAATAAAAAACATCCATTTAATGAACTCCCTTTGGTCCAGACTCAGAGGAATCACATTCTATTATCAGTTCAGTTACGTCTGCGCTGTCTAATTATCCCTGACAGAGGACAAGTCAAGAGGGAAGCCAATTAAAAGATAAAAATAGTTAAGAGGGACAAAGACTAAACTAATCCGAAGCAAAATCTGGCTTTTCACAGATTCTTACCGACATGTAATCATGTGTGGTGCCGGTACCTGTGAACAAAGTTAGTGGTGCCATCAATAGGGTCGATGATCCAAGTGGGATTGTCGGTCAGAACGCTGGGGGCGCCTGCAGCCACTGACTCCTCACCTATGAAGCTGCAAGATGAAAACACCTTAACACAATGCCAAAGAGAAAGGACAACACCGATGATCTTAGATGAACAGCCGCCGTTGCCTATCAATCTGAGAGGGGTTATGAGGCAATGTCCAAACTAGTGTGAGTGAAAGTATTGAGAGCAGCATTTATACTCCAATGTTAACAACAAAATCGCATTTTTGGACCACAGCTCTTTCTCAGGCACGACCAGAATGACATAGAAGGAAGCAGAGGAGCGTCCCAGAGAAGCAGGGTACCTGTGCGTTGGGTACTTTTCCTTGATGGAAGATATAATGAGCTGCTCCACTTTCTGGTCCGTCTCGGTCACCAGGTCAACTGGTGAGCTCTTCTGCATGACTGCAATGTCCTTTTGGAGCGCCTCACGGATCATCTGGCAGAATCACAATGGCAACAGCGAGGGGATTTTTTGGCTGACTGAGTACATCTGCTGCTCTAATTATCTGAAAATGTGGTGACACGTCATGGGCACTGGCTGGCCACAGGTGACAAGGTGTCCATTTATGTTGTATTGTGTTAATTTATTGCAAGATTGCTTACAGCTAAGATAAACCGGATTGCACTCCAAATGGCACATGATTTAAATGTGATTTGCAATAGATTTAACTGTTCTTTCTGCTAAAAACAGAAATACGCTTCATATATAAAGGCTTCCTGTGATAGTACAAGGTACTTACATTAGGTTGTTAGTGTATGACAAGCCATGTCATGTCATGGGGGTAAACAGACTGCAGTGATTGCTCCTCCTTACCTTCCCAGCCCTTTTGGTGACCTCAACACAAAGGTCCATACACTCCTGCCAAGGGTCACTCATGCTGATAGGTGAAGTTAAGATGTGATGAAGAGACCTGAAGGAAGAAGCTCAATTTCCCTGATTCTAAGAAACTCCCAGCAGCTTTTGTAGCAGCATGAACAGGACACAGCAGGTGAGGTGGCTAAAGAGGAGCTGGTCTGTCCCTGTAAACATAGAGAATCGGTAACATAGCATAAATGAGCTAATCCTGTTAGCTTGCAGTTTTTTTTAAATGGGAGAAAACGTGTACAAAATGAAGCTGGATAAATTGACAAGTATCATCACAAAACGGTACAAAACAGTTTTCTCTGACAGTTGTGTTACTTCGTGAATTAGTCCTGTATCAAACAAACACGCGGCATCAAAGAGTTTCAATTAGCTAAAGCAAATTCCACCCACCTTTAGGCTGACTGGCTTCGCTGTTTTGACATTTCACATAGGCGGGACTAAAAAGGAAATGCTCACTTTCATTGGTCAATCTGTGTGGCTCGAAATCAAGTCTTCCATTTCATTGGCTATATTGCTATCACGTGTTCTGCCAAGGACAAATAACGCTCTTCTGTAGCAAAGCGGTCCCCTAAGGTGGACTCGTATTGCAGAACTTAAAGGCGGAAATATTAGGTTATTATCATAAATCAGAATTTGTATTAATGTTTTTGAAAAATCAAACGATGTAATACTCAGTCCATCAAAGGCAGAGTGGTATAATTTGATGAAAAACTTAATGCCATAAAAGTGTCATTATAAGAATTGCAACATAGTCTATTGGTCAAAATAAACAAATAGTAAGAAAGTAGCAGTATAAAGAAACACAATACAAAATGCATGTGTACCTAATCTATGATCTAATTTACCCTATCAATCCCAACCAGAATGGGAAGTGTATCACCTGGATAGATTGCAGCATCATCCAGTTTTT